GTCCCCCTGGGCAGAGTGCCATGGCTTCACCACTCACAGCAACCTCCAACTCCTGGGCTCAAGCGAGTCTCCTGCCTCTGCCTCCCAAGTAGCTAGGACCACAGGCGCCCACCACAACGCCCGGCTATTTCTTGGTTGCAGCCATCGTTGTTGTTTGGCAGGTCCGGGCTGGATTCGAACCTGCCATCTTAGGTGTATGTGGCTGGTGCCTTAGCCGCTTGAGCCACAGGCGCCAAGCCTCCCTCTTCTTTTTTTTTGAGACAGAGTCTCACTCTGCCACCCTGGGTAGAATGCCGTGGCCTCAGAGCTCACAGAAACCTCAAACTCTTGAGCTCAAGTGATTCTTTTGCCTTAGTCTCCTGAATCGCTGGGACTACAAGTACCCACCACAACACCCGGCTATTTTTAGAGATGGAGTCTTGCTCTTGCTCAGGCTGGTCTTGAACTCCTGAGCTCAAAGCAATCCACCTGCCTCAGCCTCCCAGAGTACTAGATTACAGGTGTGAGCTACCATGTCCAGCCTCTCTTGGAATTTCTTGATACAAAAGGCTTGAACTTGAGCTATACTTGACTTACGGAGGTATTTCCATAAAGACAACCAAAGTGTTATTAATGATCTGTCCACCATAGTGTGTGACTTACATTTTTGCCTGGAATCTGCTTTTACAGGAAATATATCTCTGCACTTGAGATTGGTTAACACCGTACAGGCTGGTCCACGTGAAGGTACCTCCTATAACAATGGTCCAGAATGTGTGTCTTTGTAAAGGGTTAGGATCGAAACTAGATGAAAAAAAAAAATAGAAAACAAATCTGAACTGTTGACAAAAGACTAAAAATAATGCTCCTACACTATTTTTGGAAGCAAGCAAATGTACACACATACACATACATAAACATATGCAAATATATTTAGTAATATAAAAAGTAGAAATATTTCTGAATTAAGTTCATTGACATAAAAACTGTTATTTTCAGAGATCTGGAAATTCTAATAGGAATTGGGAGAATCTGAATGGTCCAATCATTCTGAACATTGACATAAATTGCTCTCCTATAGTCTTGAGAAACTGTTGTGTAAACAAATTTGACATGCTATAATCAGAGAACATGAAACACACAACATGGGGAGGATACATTCCTACCTGCACCACGGTAGTAAAATGAACACAAAAGGGACACATTTTGTGTATATAATTCCCCTTTCAGCACAGGTAGTCATAGTGTTAATATATGTTCAAGTTCAAAGAGTCTGTCCATAATGCAATCTAAAGGTTTTCATTTTCTAAAATTACCATATGTCATTATAATCACTCTTTCTCAAAATGCTGCATGCCTTAGCTAAACACTAACAGTTTAAAACCACTTTATGACACGTGCAAAAGCCCAAAATATTGTTACAAAGAAAGCTTCAGCTTCATTCTTGAAATATCCTTTAACCATTTTTATTGGAAGGAATGACTCTGTTCATCTCTGACACAGCATGTGAACTTGAAAACTTCCTGCAAAATTAACTTTCATGAACACGTCCTGAAAATTATGAAATAACTAGATTTCAAAATCCTTCAAATCCGTTTCTGAGATCAGTTGAATAAAGTGTTTTGATGTGCATATCCTGGAATTCCTATGGAAATGTGAGAACTTAACACTTAATACAAAGTCTAAGAGTTTCAGGAGAGTTGACCCCATCTCCCATAGAGATAGCAGCTACCATATTAGCTAATGGAAGTGAAGAGCCAGGATTCAGTGAGCCATCTTAGAGAAGTCTGGTAAGACTTAAATCGCCCAATTCAGTGCTTTTAGGCAATATGGAATAGATATTCCATACAGAAAATACCAGCACAATATCCTCCTCTTCATCTATCTCAACCAGACCAGATATTTTGCCTGCTATATTCTCAAAAGATATCAGAATAACAAGAGATACTCTTAAAAAGTCTGAAATATCATATGATTTCTTATTATTACTTAATGGCTCTCAATCTTATAATCTAAGGTCATAAAAATGTCTGATCTTTTATTTTTTAGAATCTCTTCTTGATGTATATTATCACTTCAAAGCTGCAGAATGTGTGTTTTTTATATAAAGTAACGGTTATCTTGGAGAAAAATAATTGTTTACACACCCTCTCCCCTCAGCCTAGCCTACAAGGAAAAGATTTGGGAGTCATCAAGAGTAGTCATTGGCTATTTCTACTTTCTGGTCTTTTTCCCCTATTCTGGTGACAGCAACCCAGCCACCATGAAATAGTGTCAATGGCTATCAGTTAAAATATTTTTCTCTGCTCTAGCCAAAGGATGAACCATCATCCAAGGTAGGCAACTAGAGGCTCTTTCCCTTAGAATTAGAATATTAAGTCAAAGGAGAAAATAAATTATTACAGACATTCCTCAAAGAAATAAATATAGACTTACCATTTGACCTAGGAATCCTACGACTGGGTATCTACCCAAAGGAAAAGAAGTGATCTTATCAAACAAACAAACAAACAAACAAAAAACACCTGCACTGGAATGTTTATTGCAGCACTATTTACAATTACAAAGATGTGCTATTGACCTAAGTGCCCATCAATTACTGAGTAGGTTAACAAAATGTGGTGTATACTACATATATACCATGAAGTACTATTCAACCATAAAAAATAATCGATGTCTTTTGCAGCAATTTGGATGGAACTGAAGATCATTATCCTAAGTGCAGCATCCTAGGAATGGAAAAACAAATACCACATGTACTCTCTAATAATTTGGAACTAATCAATGGGCACACATGGGCACGGAGAGAGATGAGTCATTGGAAAGTAAGAAGGGAGAGGAGGAGGCGGATACAAGGACACGATTCAGGGGATGGGCACACTAATAATCCCGACTTAAGCATTCTAAAAGCTATTCACAAAACAAAAACCTTTGTGCCTCCTTAATGTTCTGAAATAAAAAAAAAATAAATTATGGTAAGCAGCTGAACGTGATTCAGTGCCGTTCCTTCCTGCAAATTAACAGATTGACCCTGTCCAATTTCTGACAAAGCTCTTCTCCAACTTTGATGCTTATTTTCATAAGACTCAAAAAGAGCCATCACAAGTGCAAAATGGCTTTTCTTTCTCCTTCACCAGTGACTTCAGATGGTCTGTCTCAAAGCAGGGCTGGTTAAAAAGAAAATAAGCTGGCTGAAGACAACACCAGTCCCTCCAGTCCCTTTCTGTACTGAATATGATGAGCAAGGACAATACTACTGACCCAAAGTGAAGGGGGTTTTAAATATTCTTTCAAACTGTGTGATATGTTTGGGATGAAATATCTAGTCTCTCCATTTTTCTTTCTTTAGGAAAACAGAACAGCTATTTAAGATAAGTTATAGTGTGTGCTATAGTATCACTTGAGACTTCAGGCAATAACTTTTCTAGTTAATTCTCTAGAAATAATCTATAATGTACATTATGTATATGCATATACATATGTATACATATGATGATAACACACAAACATAGTAAACTACATTAATATGCTATATGCTGTCAGGGAGAATATCAACCCTCACGGCTGATGAAAATGGAATCACTGTCTTTTGGTGTTTGTCCCTTTCCAAGAGGCTTCCTTTTCTTATCTTTCCACTTCTCTTACTATTTCTCCCTTCTAACCTATTCCGGACTTTACTATCTTGGAAAAAAATATTCTTTTGTGCTAAGTCCCTTCTCAGGAAGTAGCATCATCCTAAGAACGAGGTAGCTAAGTACCCTTTGTCTGTTTCAACCCACTAACAAGCGTGAAAAACTCTCACACGTTTCCTTGTCAGTTTCCTCTACCATGTCCTGGTGGTTTTTATGGTTCGTTTTAGAATGTAAACTGCCTAGCTCAATAAAGACATTATTTTTTCAGATAAAACAAAAGATATTTTCTCTTAACCTCAAGGTAAATAGCAACTTACTTCCAGAAGTTTAATCTTCCACCTTCATAGGCGTCACTTAAAATAGTGTCGATTCCGCCTTGAACCACCGCAGCCCGTATGATCACAGTCGCAAATCCAGCCACCATGATCCCAACTTGGAAAACATCTGTCCAGATAACAGCTTTCAGACCACCCTTTGAGGGGAAGGGATATTAGGATTAATGGTTCTATTAGAGATTATTAACCACGCGCTTACCTGCCACCGTGAACAAAAATAATGAAAACATGGATTTTGGCCAAGAGGTGCACTCAGGCAGATGGTAAGGGTGGGGGAACCTTCATGGAGAAGGAGATACTTATGCCAGCCTTCAGACATAAGCAGAGGCGAAGATGATGTTTACTTTGCCCTGGTAGCAGAGAAAACAGCATGGGCAAACGCATGGAGGGATCAAACTACATGAAATGCTAAATATGCCCAGTAATGTATTTGGGAACAAAGTGGAGTATGGTGTGGGGAAGATTGCTGGGGGAGAGATTTAGAGTCCAACTGCAAGTCATTATTGTGAATTTTATCCTCCGGGCAGGGCTGGTATTTAATCAACATGTATCCAGATAGTCGTACCAGTTGTTGAAAAACTAAAATTGTTTTATACTAGCTACTACCACAAACTTCCCCTTCTGGTCCTTATGACCTGAGCTGAAGCAGCCCCTTCCTGAGGACCCCCTTCTTCTACAAGATCAGCAAAGAAAGGGTTAACATCTAGAATACCAGAGATCCCAGAAGATTTGCCTCCCAGCCGAGGAGGAGCATGCCTGATAACTTCAGTGCCTGCCATCCTAGGGGCTGCCTTAGTCAGCACTGCCTATAACAATGGGAAGGCATCACAGGTTTCTAAGCTGAGGTATAATATGAACTGTAATAACTTGGCAACCGTAAGGATGAATCAGGCGATAAGATGAGCTCCCACTGTGATGGTTCAAATGAAACAAAAAAAGATCCCTTTATGATCGGGGAGGTCAGGAGTAGGTGCGCAGCACACAACTGGTGTTTTCAGTTTTGCACAGCAAGTAGGTGGAGTGTAAAGGGGTACATGCTGACGTACCAGCGTGCAGTAGAATGTGCAGACCACCCCGGTGGCCGCTACCGCGCCCCATAGATCAAATCCCGTGACTGTGGAGAAAACAGAATGCATGTGTTAATATAGCTGTGAAAGACGCACAATAAAAATACTTCCCACACATTCTCAGGGAAAGAAGCTATATCATTTATTGGGCTCCTACGTCCATACTCCCTTGCCTAAAACTGGGTCCAACTCTCATAAACATCACAAAAACCAAATGGATTTTGAAGTTTTATTTGATGAGTTGCTACCTGCAGACACCAGATACAGGTCCAATACTGGCTCAATTAAATGCGTGGAAAAGCATTTATGTTGTGACTAAGCTAAGAAATTGCTGGATACTGTAAGGTAGTTGAGGTTGTTGTTTGGAATGAGTGAGGTGGAAGGGTATTTGGCATCTTTCTCCCCCATTAGACAAGAGTCAGATAAACACACTATTTTGCCGGTCCTGGAAAGATGCATTACTGGCTGGGCATGGTGGCTTAAGCCTGTAATCCTAGCTCTCTGGGAGGCTGAGGCAGGTAGATTACTTGAGCTCACGAGTTCGAAACCAGCCTGAGCAAGGGTGAGACCCCCTATCTCTACTAAAAATAGAAAAACTGAGGCAAGAGGATCGCTTGAGCCTGAGAGTTGGAGGTTGCTGTGAGCTATGACAGCGCAGCACTCTACTGAGGGCAACAGCATGAGACTCTGTCAGAAAGAAAGGAAAGGAAAGGAAGAAGAGAGAGAGAGAGAGAGAGAGAAGCATTATTAAGATGCATGTTACTAAGAGGGGACCCAGCTGAAGTAAAGTTTGTATAATTTGCTACCATTTACCTGAGAAATGGAATAGTATACTATATTTTTTAAATGGAAGGATAAATTAAAACAAACAAAAACTAGTAACCTAGGGGAGAAGGAAACAGGGTAGAGGAGACAGGATATTAACTTAGACTTCTCTAAACATAGTCTGATTTATAGACTTGACTTTGCAACCATGTAAATATTCTACATAATTATACAACATTAAATTAGAAAAAACACTCCTCAAAATCGAAAGCAAAATGAAATAAATTGAACCTAACTGTAGGTCAAACTTGCAACATTACCACCCAGAAAAAATATTCCACAGACATTAAAACACAGTTTAACATACATCCCTACTGGGATAATACACCCTATGGAAAAAAGAAATAATTTCAAAGAAAAAAAAATTTTTACTGTTCCTGGCCATCATATCATCAGTTAAAATTTGGAATTGCTATTCTAAAACTAATACCTGGTGGTTATCAACTTTATATATTAAAATCAAAGGAAATTTTTTTTTAATTTCAGGTTATTGAGACACAACCAGGTCACAGTAATTGAAATTGTTAGGTATAGTCTCTCTTGTAGTTGTGTGCTGCACCCAGAAAGTATGCCATACACCCCCATTGTGTCCTTTAGATGGTACACACCATTCCCCTCCTCCCTCATTTCCCTTCCTTCCAACTTCAGTGGAATTAAGTTTTTCTCCTAGGTGGGTGTGTGTTAGATTGTCTACTGGCTTCAGAGGAGTTGAAACACATTCTTCCTAGGAAAGTACACAAGAATGGAAAAGCAATTATTCAATGTACCAGAGGAAACTTTTTAAATCCTGATAACTAGGCCACTCAACAGGCCAATTAACTGAAAACCAGAGTGGAGACCCAGCAAGCAGTATTTTTTAAAGCTCCCCAAGTGAGTCTAACGTGCCACCAAGGCTGAGGAATCAGAGGCAACCTGCTAGACAAGAATGGGATAATTTGAGCATCAATAATAGTATTAACCTTAACGGTGTGAAATAACACCGAACCTTTGAGTGCATGACTTCATAAGGATTTTTTCTTTCTTTCTTTTCTTTTTTTATGAAATGATAGCTGTGTACATTAATGCAATTATGGGGTACAGTGTGGTGTTTTCATATACAATTTGAAATATTTTCATTAAACTGGTTAACATAGCCTTTATGTCATTTTCTTAGTTATTGTGTTAAGACGTTTATATTCTACTTTTAGAAAGATTCACTTGT